AAGTAGGAATAAGGGATCTTCTGGAAAAGGGCTTATTTTCCGCAAGATCCCGTCTAGACTGGCGCTTTTCTCTGGCAAAATCCTGAGCCGGAAAAATGCGGCAGCCATGTTCATGCAAATTCCGCGGGGGATATTTAAATCCCCCGCAGCATTTGCAATTCCGACTGGTCTCATTAGCATCCCTTTTCCGGAAAAGGGTGCTAATGTAGACACAGCCAGCCTGTACGTCTATTGTGGGGAGGGGTTATAAAGTCTCTGTTGGTTTTGTCCAAAATGCGGCAGCCATGTTCATGCAAATTCCGCGGGGGATATTTAAATCCCCCGCAGCATTTGCAATTCCGACTGGTCTCATTAGCATCCCTTTTCCGGAAAAGGGTGCTAATGTAGACACAGCCAGCCTGTACGTCTATTGTGGGGAGGGGTTATAAAGTCTCTGTTGGTTTTGTCCTTATGAGATGGCCTGAGTCTGTGCTACAAATAAATGGAGGAAAACGAGGCATTTTAGAATCATAGAGCTGGAAGACACCTCACAAGGTCATCAAGTCCAGCCCCCTGCCCAAGGCAGGACCAATCCCAACTAAATCAACCCAGCTTGGGCATTCTCAAACCGAAACTTAAAAACCTCCTAGGGATGGAGATTCCACCACCTCCCTAGGTAACCCATTCCAGTACTTCACCACCCTCCTAATAAAATCGTGTTTCCTAATATCCAACCTAGACCTCCCTCACTGTAACTTGGGACCATTGCTCCTTGTTCTGCTATCCGTCACTACTGTGAACGGCCTCTCTCCATCCTCTTTGGTAACCCCCCTTTAGGAAGGTACCAAATCCCCCCTCACTCTTCGCTTCTGCAGACTAAACAAGCCCAAATCCCTCTCTCTCTCCTCATAGGTCATGTGCTCCAGCCCCCTAATAATTTTGGTCACCCTCCGCTGGACCCTCTCTGATGCGTCCACATCCTTTCTATAGTGGGGGGCCCAGAACTGGACACAATACGTCCAGATCTGGTGAGGACCAGAGCCGAGTAGCTGCAGGAACCTAAATTTAAACACCTACATCCATGCTCAGGCAGCATAATTAGTGGCTTGTTTCTTGAAAACACTGGGAGCTCAGAACTGAATCCCGTTGTTACAGGTGCAGTAATGTTGAAACTCAAATCAGGTGTTGAGATAAATGAATGTGGATTTGGCATCTAAGTTGTGTGCTTTTTATGGAATATCTAGACTCAGCATTTGCCCACAGTGGCAGAGTCTAGCATGTGTGTCACCAGGGACAGAGACTAGGCAGAATGGGGGTGTGGAAAAGAATCAGAGTCCTTTCTGAAATGTCTCCCATTGCCTTTCTCCCTCTGACAGGCTGCAGAACACCCATGTCTGTCTCCAGTTCAGTCCCTGGCCTGCAGAGCCAGGGACATGAAATGGCTGTGGCGGAGCCGGTTAGCTTCGAGGAGGTGGCTGTGTATTTCTCTGAGGAGGAATGGGCTCTGCTGGATCCTGGCCAGAGAGCCCTCTACAGGGATGTGATGCAGGAGAATTATGAGGCTGTGAGCTGGCTGGGTAAGGATTCCTGTCCCCTCGGGTATTAGAAGCTGGATGGGCTCTGCAGCAGTTGGTTGGGTATGGTTCAGGGTCCCTCATTGCTCTCTGCTTCTCCAGTGTCAGGACTATCAGCCCCAATCATCCTGACTCCTGTGTGAGAGACTGTCTACTCCATGTCCTCTCCCAGGGGAAGCAGGTTCAGGGACATAAAAATGGTGCAGCTCTTCCCACGCCCCAAGTCTCCATGTGCTTCCCATGTTGTTCTTTGGCTGGAGGTGTGAGTGGAAGGGCCCAGGCAGGAATGGCAGGTACCAGAGTTGTGGTCTGGGTCCGGCTGCTGTTAGTGCCTACAGGCCCCCCCACATGTTCAGGGTTTGAAGCAGGCAGCCAAGGACTCACTTAGCTGCTCAGGCTACTTCGTCTGCCTCCTTCTGGCCCAAGTAGAGCTTCTGAGGCAAAGATCAGGGCGAGCCAAGCTCTCCAGCCAGGAGTTTGTGGTCAGAACCCTTGGGGAACTAGAGCTCTGCTGGGTCCTTCCTCTCCAAGTCCTAGTGACCCACCGTGTGGCAGCTGCAGTCTGAGCCCTGCCTGGGGGCCTTGATATCAGACCTGTGAGCCCTCACTGGAGCTCCTTTTCTGAGCAGTGTGTTCCTGTCCTGCCCTGGGGCAGGGGGAATGGAACGGACCCTGAGGGAGACTTAGTTGTACCCTAGAGAGTGTAGCAAAGCGCTCAGCTCCCCCAGGGAAGTGGCACCTTTACTGAAGGTAAGTGTGTCCTGGGATCTTGTACCAGCCAGAGCCCAGTCCCTGTAACGTGGGGAAGGAGCTTCTCTGGGTGGGTGACGTGGATCTGGAAGTGGTTCAAACCTTAATGAACAAGATCAGCACTTGGTTAATTGCTCCCCTGGACAGGATTTCCAGTCTCCAAAGCTCATGTGATCTCTTGGGTGGAGCGAGGGGAGGAGCTGTGGGTCCCAGATCTCCAAGGCTGTGAGGAAGGGGAGATATTCAATGACTCCCACACAGGTGAGGAATCAGCTAAACTGACACAGAAACCAATTTCTGTGTCCTCGTAGCAGGTGTCACTTGTGCATTTTCATCATGTCTGACTACCCCATCAGCCTGTATTCAACTGCAGTCTGACGAGGGAGGTGGGAGACGGGGTGTTACTCAGGTTTCTTTCCACCTGGGTAGCTTGACTCTGTGTGAGATGATGTTGGGAAGTAAATCCAGGGAGACGTGGCCTCCAACCAATAGGTGACTGGCACAAACAGGACCACAGAAGAGCTTTCACTTAACCTTTAACGTTATTTCACCTCAGTTGCTTACACTTGTCTACAACAGGTTAGTAAAATGTCCCAAACTGCAAAGATTCCTGAAGTTGGGTGTAGTTCTTGAGCAAGGATGAGTAAGATTCAGCCCACCAAGCTGTTTGATCCGGCCCAAGGCCTGCTCTGTCTGGGCCCTGAAGCTGGTGGCTTCCCTCCACCAGGAGCATGAGGTGCCTGGAGGGAGCTGCCAGCCATTTTCAACAGTGAAATGTGTGCTAGCAGGAGGAAACTGAGGGGCAAGAGACTTTGCTCACTTCCCTGCTCCTAAACCAAGTCTCCTCCCCCCACCCTTCATCAGGGGTGCGCAGTGCTTTGAACCGCCAGCTGTTCAGAATGGCTGGTGGTTCCGTGTAGGTGCCACCCAGCTCTGGCTGTGAGGGGTGAAAGAGTTTGCATACTCTCTTTTCCCCCAGGTCCCGTGCCCAGGTACAATGATTGGCTTTGGGCAGGGAAACACACAAAGTCTCTCCCCACACCCTTCCCAGGGCCATATGGCTCTGAGCAATACATGGAGGTAACCTCCCTGAGCCCCCAGGGGCTGCTGCAAGAGGGTGCCTGCCTCAAGAACCCTGTTGGGTTGCTGGCTGGGAGCAGCCTAAGGTAAGTTACTCCCAGCCAGAGCCTGCCTCTGGCACCCCAGGGCCTCCCACTTCCCAACTCCCTGCCCAGGTCACCACCCCCTCCTTCCCCACATCACCATGCAAATGCTCTGCACACACATCCTGCCCCAGGTTACAATTCCCTCTGTCACCCAAGTCAAAATTAATTCCTGCACCCCATTCCCTCCTGGACCCTGCACCCCAATCCCCTGCCCCAGACAACTCCTTCTTTACCCCAACTGCCTCTCTGACCCCACGCCCTTTTCTGCACCCCAGTCCCCTTACCCCAAGCTCCCTTCTGACCCAGCCTCCTTCCCAAACTCCACATCCCCTGCATAGAGATGAGTGGCCCTTGAGCACTTTACAAAATCTGAGAGTGAACCCCCCCCCATAAAAAATGATTGTCCACCCCTGCTCTTGAATGACCCAGCGGCAGTTTTCAGTGGGCCAATCTTCCTTCTGCTGGTGGGGACCACAACTTCCTGTAGGGGAATCCCTGATAAGTCCCTAACTTGTCATCCCTGTTTATTCATTAGTATTACAGTAACCCATCATTTCAGGGAAAGTTGAGCAATGCTGAAGGTCAGGCAGGCAGTCACCTTCCAACCATCAGCTAGCCAGGTGGGATATTTCAGAGTTTTCCTGCCTTGGGGCCCTGACAGACACACTCTGAGGGCACACAGACAGGCTTCTCAGCAATTGCAACAGAGATCTCTGCAGGAAGGACATGGACTTTTCTGTGGCATGGTCATGTGACTTTCTAGGATCAACCACAGCAGAAATAGAACCGTCATTGGTGGTTGGTTTGAGTACTGAATCACTACCAGATTCATGCTTTGTATGTTTAACTCCACGTACAAGAATGATACAGGCACAAAAACAGGGCATGCAGATTATGGAGACTGTAACTTTAAAAATGATAGACATAACACATCATGTAACATCTTGAAAATGCTTTATGAAAATTCATATTCATCAGTCAGTTTTCATGAAGTGGAGGGCTGTGACAATTTCATCTCCCCTGCAGGTGTTTCGGTGTTTTCTCCCCCTTTTCCTGTTCCCCTTTCAGCTCAGCACAGTGAATGACTCCTGTTTGGTTTCTGTCTCTGTCCCAGCAGGTGATGGGATGCTGAGGGAGAACAACGAGGAGAGTCTTCAGCAGGCAGGACTGGAGCAAGTTGCTCCACATGGGATGTTACTAGGAAGATCTGAAGGGCATGTTTCCCAGAATCCTGAGCAGGGAAAGACATGTGAGAATCATCTTAGCCCAGAAAAGCAACAGGGAATTCATGCAGTGGAAGGATGGGGTAAATCTAGTCATAGGAACAGAGGTGTGAAAAGAAACAAAGACACTGTTAAACAGAAAATCCCTCATCAAGAGGGACCCTACACTTGCAGCGACTGTGGGAAAAGTTTCCAATGTCAACAGGTCCTCCTTTTACACCAGAAAATCCACATAGGTGAGAAACCCTTCAACTTGTCTGACTGTAGTAATAACTTCAATTGGACCTCCAAGCTTATTACCCATCAGGGAATGCATCCAACTGAGCAACTCTGTGAGTGCCCTGACTGTGGGAAAAAGTTACATTGCCGATTAGGTGTTACTGAACACAAGACAAACCATAGAGCAGAGAAACCATTCAAGTGCAGTGACTGTAGGAAAAGCTTCAATGAGCACTCATGTCTTCTTGGACATAAGAAAATCCACAGAGTGGAGAAACCCTTTGACTGCTCTGACTGTGGGAAAAGCTTCAGTAGGAGGTCAAATCTTGTTACTCATAGGAGAATCCACACAGGGGAGAAACCCTTCAGCTGCTCTCACTGTGGCAAAAGCTTTAGTAGGCGCTCGCTTCTTAAGACTCATTGTGCAATCCACACAGGTGAGAAACCCTTCAATTGCTCTGAGTGTGGGAAAAGCTTCAGTCAGAACACAAGCCTGATTAAACATCAGAGAATCCACACAGGCGAGAAACCATTTAGCTGTTCTCAGTGTGGGAAAAGCTTTAGTGGGCACTCACTTCTTAAGATTCATTGTGCAATCCACACAGGGGAGAAACCCTTCAATTGCTCTGAGTGTGGGAAAAGCTTCAGTCAGAATGCAACCCTGATTAATCATCAGAGAATCCACACAGGAGAAAATCCCTTCAACTGTTCTCATTGTGGGAAAAGCTTTAGTCGGCGCTCACTTCTTAAGGCTCATTATACAATCCATACAGGGGAGAAACCCTTCAGTTGCTCTGAGTGTGGGAAAAGCTTCAGTCAGAACGCATACCTGATTAAACATCAGAGAATCCACATAGGACAAAAACCCTTTAGCTGCTCTCACTGTGGGAAAAGCTTTAGTCGGTGCTCACATCTTAAGACTCATTCTACAATTCACACAGGGGAGAAACCCTTCAGCTGCTCTCACTGTGAGAAAAACTTTAGCCGGAGCTCACTTCTTAAGACTCATTGTGCAATCCACACAGGGGAGAAACCCTTCAGTTGCTCTGTGTGTGGGAAATGTTTCAGTCAGAATGCAAGCCTGATTAAACATCAGAGAATCCATACAGGGGAAAAACCCTTCAACTGCTGTCACTGTGGGAAAAGCTTCAGTCATAACGCAAACCTGATTAAACATCAGAGAATCCATACAGGGGAGAAACCCTTCAACTGCTCTGTGTGTGGGAAAAGCTTCAGTCAGAACACAAACCTTATTAATCATCAGAGAGTCCACACAGGGGAGAAACCCTTCAACTGCTCTCACTGTGGGAAAAGCTTTAGTCGACGCTCACATCTTAAAAGCCATTGCAGAGTTCACACAGGGGAGAAACCTTTCAACTGCTCTGAGTGTGGGAAAAGCTTCAGTCAGAACACAAGCCTGATTAAACATCAGAAAATTCATGCAGGAGAGAAACATTTCAACTGCTCTAACTGAGCAAAAATGTTCAATCGTAGCTGATAGGTTTTTGAACATCAGAGAACCAACATAGTTGAGAGGCCTTTTAATTGCTCTTACTGTGGGAAAATGGTCTTAAGTTGCAGTGAAGGAGGTTTAGGTTAGACATTAGGAAAAACCTGATAACTGTCAGGGTGGTGAAACACTGGAATAAATTGCCTAGGGAGGTTGTGACATCTACGAGGCCATGTAACCGTGTGTTTCCAGTTTTGCTAATCACAATAGGACAAAAAGTTAATATACCGTAACAGGGATTTGCGTAGCTTTTTACGATTGCTTTTCCAGAAGAGGCTTTTCCAATATTTGGCCCCATGTAAATGGGGTCTAATGGCAGAAAAGCCTCCTCTTTTGGAGGAGCCCTTGTTCCTTGTAAAACAAGGTATACAGGGCTCCCCGAAAGAGCATGTTTGCTCTTCCGCAAAAATAAGCAGAAGAGCAGATGCCTTTACTGGACATGGCGGGGGGTTTTTTGGGATACCAGAAGTATGTGCCTTGTCTTGCTCAGCTATTTCACTCCAACTTTGGGATGGAACTGCGATTTACATTTCATTGTTATTCAGTCTGAAATATCCCTCCTGCTCTCTGCTCAGTTCCCAACACTGGCTGCAGACAGCAATATTTGGTACATTGGCTGCTGTCCATGCTGGCAGAGAGCTGTCCTGCACTTGCAGTTCATCCACCTCCCAGAGAGGCGGCAGCTCTGTGAGGTGGAGAAGCATTGTGGGTGGGTTTTCAAGCCAGGGCATTTATTTGTGTGTGTGACATTTAATCAAAGCCCATTTTTAACCCCTCTGGTCTGGGAACAGAAATGAAACTTACTGAAGCTAGGTCTGTCCTTCACATTCCTGAAGATCAGAGAATCAAAAGGAAAGCATTGGTGGGGGTGTAACTCAGTGGTAGAGTGTTTGCCTGCAGATCAAGTGGTCCTTGGTTCAACTCCGTGTCCCCTGCAAAAACTGTCCCTTTAAGGCAGTGGTGTCCAACCTTTTTACATCCAAAATCACTTTTTAAATGTCAGAACAAGCTAAGATCTATCCCATCCCCTCCCAAAAAACCCCACCCCTTCCTTGAGGCTCCGCCCTCTCTGTTCCCCTCCTCTCTATCACTTGCTATCCTCAGCCCTTAGACACTCTCACGGTACAGCTACACTGCCACTTGTTTTCTTCTTCAAAAAAAGCTATGCAAAACGTACACCGCATTTTGCATAGTTTTTTTGGATCCTTCTGTTGGAAGAGGTTTTTTCTAACGTTTGGCCCATTCAGACTGGGCCAAATGTCAGAAAAAAACCCTCTTTTGGAAGCCCCCTTATTCCTCGTGGAACGTGTCTGTTCTTCTGCCAAAAAAAAAAAGCAGAACAAACGTGTCCCTGGGGTTCTGTATTTTCCACTACAACTCATCTGAATGAAGTAGGTGTTACCCACAAAATCTTATAAGCTAATAAGTTTGTTAGTCTCATAATGTGCCACAGGACAATTCTTTTTTTTAAATATACAGAGTAACACAGCTACCCCTCTGAGACATTTTACCTAGAGTGTTTGTTGAGCAAAAAACTCTACGATGTATTGATATCAACTGCTGGTGCTAGTAGCACTCAGCATCTCACTTGCCGGAAAAGTTCAACAAAATCTAAACACAAGGGCTGTGTCTAGACTGCATCCCTTTTCCGTAAAAGGGATGCAAATTAGACATATCGCAATTGCAAATGAAGTGGGGATTTAAATAAAAATGGCTGCTGCTTTTTTCCGGTTCGGAGCTTTGCCGGAAAAAAGCGCCAGTCTAGACACGGATCTCTCGGAAAATAAAGCCTTTTCTGAAAGATCCCTTATCCCTCTTAAAATGAGTTTAGACTGGCGCTTTTTTCCGGCAAAGCTCCGAGCCAGAAAAAAGCAGCAGCCATTTTTATGCTAATGAAGCAGGGAGGATTTAAATCCCCGCTTCATTTGCAATTGCGATGTGTCTAATTTGCATCCCTTTTACGGAAAAGGAATGCAGTCTAGACACAGCCTTATAGTCTAGCCGTATCTGCACTGGATTGAGACAGGAGGTGTGGGCTTTGGGGTGGGAATGAGGGATTTGGGTGTGGGAAGTGGTGAGAGGTGGAAGCTCTGGGAGGAAATTTAGATGTAGGATAATGTGGAGAAGGGGATTCTGGCTCAGGGAGGGAGCTCCAGGCTGAGCAGTGTTGGGCTCAGTATTGTTGAGGTGCTGAGCCAGCCACAGGCTTGTGGATGTGAGGGTGCAGGAATTTGGGTTGGGTGTGTGAGGGACCCTGGGCAGGGAGGGTTGGGAGTATGATGGACTCAGGACACAGATTGTCAGTGTGTGGATGGTGTAGGAGTGTTGTGGTAGAAGACTGGGGATGCAGGAGTTTGGGGATGTGAGAGGCTCAGGACGGGGTTCTAGTGTATGATAGGCTCAGGTTTGGGATCAGGAGAGGGGGGCAGGAGTGTTATGATGCTGAGGCCAGATGGGGGCTTGGCCCCAATTAGGGGTTTGTTGGCCAGGCTTCATTTTTAAATAAAATATTATTTCAAACACAAAAGGTTTCAGCATTGTCTTTACTTATGAGAAGGGCAGGGAACCTGTTTTGAGTCAGGGGTCACTGACCCACAGAAAAGTCAGTTGGGACCACACAAATGAGATGCAAAAATAACCACCTCCAACCCCCCCCC